GCCCATCAAGGTGTTCAGATAATGGATGCAATGTTACAAAGCTACATATTTCCACCACAACGTCTGACTTTGAGCCGTTGCCTCTCATGACTCTTTCTGCAAACATGTCGGGATATATTAATGTTGGTGTCAGCTAACAGACCGTTCTCATAAGACTTCTCCCTCTGAATCATATAGGTCTTCATTACCAAATCTAACATAAGTCAGTACATCCCTCCAAAGGAAACCTCACTTTAAGCCTCAGGCCAAGATGTGACCTGTTTGGTGGATTAATGATTGTTACATATGAGGCACACGGGGATTTAAATGTAGGAGCCTGGAGATACACAAATCAGTCTTTGACTTTAAGCACATTTAGAGGACATACTGTTGATATTCTGCACCAAAATGAGAATTAAAAAGGGTCATGTCATTTTACGTTAACCTGGAAAAACTTTGGTTTCATGTTTTATTATCCAGGTTCCTAAACATCTGAGAGACCCTAGCTGCTTCCCACTGCAGAGCGAACAATGGACAGAACGTGAGTAGCACTAACCTACACAGCTATATGCAGTCAGATAGGAACAAAATAAATCATATTTGTATATTTTCAAACTGATATAGAAATTGCACTTAAAATATTTATATCTTATTTATGCCTTTTTATACGAGTCAGTAGAAAATGTCCATTGTAAGATGTCAGACCTCACTGCTCCCATTAAAGTGACAGTTGTGTCTGGTAAGAAGAGCTCTCAGTGGAGACTGCTAGTAAGAAGTAAACGAAGCCTCTGCTGGGAGGACAGAATGTAAAGGGCAAAAAACCTGCCTTCACATTTCTTGTGAAATCTTTAAAGAGACTGGAAAGCTATCCCTCTAAACATGAAACGTTCTTTGCTCAAATCAAACAAGATTATCAACAAGCCTTGTTTGGCTTGTGACTGCAGCAACTGAACTCCACTCTACCAGGGCCTGCAATGAAAAATTATTCAAAATGGCCGACGGGGTTCTAGAAGGTCGTCTTTCTCTCATCCCTTTGTCGGATGCAGACAAGGTGATAGACACAGCAAAGGTCTAATTTAGTGAGTGGCATTGCCGGTTCGAAAGCAGAAGAGGTCAATGGGAGACGGTATTTGTTTTATGAGTGATCTGGGGAAAGCGCTGAGATCAGGGTAGCAGGTCAGGAAACCAGGAGTTTTTATCCATCCGTATTCCTGCATCTACAGGGGAACCCTCTGGATTAACCCACATATTTACAGTGGCAACCAGTAAATGTGTTACAGGTAAGGTGGACCCAGAACCCTCCAATGTTGGCCCAAATGAAGCAGACGTAAACAGAGTCCAGTCTGAGGATATGGGCTTTTATGAGCCGCTTTTTCACTCCCCATCATTACCTTGTTTGATCTTCCACAACCTGCTGCCAAGAGCAGACCTGTTTGTGTCTACATCAAATGTAGAATGAAATTCCTGCATGAACTCCTGAAAGGAGTCGTCAAAAACTGGGTTTTTCCAAAAGCGGTCTGTGGTCCATCTTAAGGCCTTACCAGTTAAACCCAGGATATTAGAGATCTTGTCTTTATCGGACGGAAAAGAGTGAGAAGCATGGCTGAACACAAGGAAACGTAGCAAAAATCCTCCAATTTAGCCAAACTCATCCAAGAATTTCTCTGGATTAGGGGAAGTGACATCACAAAAACTAAGCCAAAGGTGAGCAGATGGTTCTGTGGCGACCTGGTGGAGTTAGGAAAGCCAGAGGTCTCTGAATGTTCTGTGGGAGCTGAGTAAGGAATATCTCTGAAGATAACAGATTTATTATTATTTTTAAAAATATTCACTGAAAAAAATGTTTGTCAGAAAAACTCTCCTACTGACAATGTTCAATACAAGTAATATATGTTCCTAAGCAAAGTCTAATTCCTGCTTTATCTTCCACAGGGCACCAAGCCGCCCAGGATGTCCTGCCATCTACCAAAAGAAAACCACAAAAGCTAACTTTGGGACAGTGACCAGAGTCACTGTTGGTAGAAAACAAGTGAACAAACCAAATAAAACTGTTTTACTTGTTGGTGAAAAAGGAGCAGGAAAGTCTGCTCTGATCAACGCTCTGTTCAACTACGCCATGGGAGTGAGGTGGCAGGATGAGGCCTGGTATCGGATCATAGAAGATGGAGGTCAAAGTTCAACGTCGGATGTGATCATGTATGAGATCTTTGATTCTGAGAATAAAACTCTGCCCTACTCTCTCACCATCATCGACACGCCTGGTTATAGAGACACAGACGGACTTCGACATGACGTCATCATCAATCAAAGATTGTTTGACTTGTTCCGGTTAGAAGACGGGATCCACGAGGTTCATGCGGTTGGTGTGGTGATGAAAGCAACAGAAACGAAAATGAGCGACCAGCTGTCATACGTGTCTGATTCAGTGATGTCTCTGTTTGGAAAAAGCTTGGAGAAAAACACAGTGGCACTCATTACTCACTCAGGTAGAACAACACCTAGCATTTCTGTCAAGGGTCTTCAGGCTGGAGGAAGTCAATGTCCTTACTTCATATTCAATAATCGTCAGTATGAGGCCCGAACAGAGAAAACTAGCACAGACCTGGAAGAAGCATGGAGCCTGACAGAGAAGGGGATGAGCCAATTCACAGCTTTTCTTCAAAAGGTCTCAGCTCAGCAGCTGCAGGTCGCAGTCGGCTTTAACTCATTCATCAGATTGACAGCTTCCATCCAGAACCTGCAGGAGAAAATCAAACTAACTGAACTGAAACAGAAAGAAATCAAGCAGATTCAAGAAGCTATGAAGAAACACAAAGAAGAGATGAGGTTTAACAAGAAGTTAATTGTGGAGGTAGATGAAGCCTACAAAGATAAAGAACTTATTGAAGGTGAGGCGTCTTTCTTTAAAGCAGCTGTGTGCTGCACCGTCTGTGAGGAGAACTGCCACTTTCCTGGATGTACGATGGCCCTGAGCCCTGAAGAGTGTGAGGTCATGAAATTAGCATCCTGTACTGTTTGTACTGGGAGATGTCCTGCATCAAAACACGTTAAAGGCAACTGGAGGTATGTGACCAAGACGAGAAAAGTTGAGAGAACCAGGGAGGAAATAAAACAAAGATATTTCAAGAGTAATTCAGACACAAAGGAGACAAACCTTACAGAAACTCTAGTGAAGGAAATGGAAAACCTGAACAGAAAGAAGGGAACTTTGATAGAAAAGTCTTATCAATGTGCCATCAAATTGGATCCAACTCTCCTCAAAGTGAATTCAGTTTCCACATACATCAATTTGGACTTCCTGATCAAGAAGATAAAGGATGGCGGAGACACAGAGAAGGTCCATAAACTAGAAATGATAGACAACCAAATGGATGGAGGAGCCAAATCAGTCATTGGATGCCAGTAGGTCCAACATTTATTAAGATTTAAGAACATGTTTAACTAGCAGCTTACACGTGACAAGGTCCTTACTGTCTGTTAACAGAAAATAGCATGGTTAAGAAGACTGCTCAAGGTTTTAGCTTTTTAATGTGTAAAATGTTTTATTGTCTGAAAAACATGTTTAATTGTAGGTTATTGTTAATATAAAACATTTTCAATCAATCCCATTAGTAAAAAACACCACTTGTGTCTGTGTTTGGTTTCTAATCCAAACCCTTCGGTAGATTACAGGCATATCTTGAGGACATTAAAATCCGGATGACTCTAAACTTTATTTTGAAATCAGACAAGACAGAAGTTGTTTTTGGAAGAGAGCTTTGGAAAAATAATCTGCTTAGTCCATCACTTGATCTGGATGGCAATAAATTGGCCTCCAATAACAACCATCAGTAAACCTGCAGTCTGAGAGTGAAGTGCTCTGTTGGGAACATCTGGACCAATCGGATCTCTGATTGAAGCTAATATAAGATAATATGGTCTCCGTTTTTAATTTTCATCAGAACTCTTGCAGCAGCATTTTGGATCAGCTGACGGTTTTTATTTGGTCGACATCCTGAGAGTAAAGACTTAGTCCAGCTTTGAGGTAACAAGTGGATGGACGACTTTTTCAGCATCACTCCTGGCAATATTCCAGAGATGAAAAAGGAAATACTTGACACATGTCCAATATGGACTTTAAATGACATATTCTAGTCAAAAACACCAGAACTTTAAAGGAAACAATCCAAAGTTCAACAACACATTTCAACACTTCACACATATCGCCTTAGAAATAGGACAGGACTTTATATCTTAGATCCATCTTGCTTTATTTTCTGTGTCTGGTTGATCTTTTAGAGATTTGGGTTTTAAATGATTCTAGGACTACATAGCATTTTATCTTTAGCTTGTAAAATTGTCTTTATCTGTTTAATTTTCATTACTTTAGCACAAATCTTTTTCTTTCTATAACATGTTAAAATGTAAAAGTTGGAAAAAGGCTAGACTGCAGATTTATCTCTGCATGTTTTTCATCAAATTAAAAATCTTTATCTCAAACCTTAATTTCTGTTTTTTGTACAGGGTTGACAGCACATCCATACAACATATAATCTGTAACAGTGATGTCATCAGCCCAGGAACTCCGGTTGTCTACCAGCTTAGAACAAGAAAAGAGACTGTTGAGACCCTGACCAGAGTGACCTTTGGTAAGAAAAAACAGAGCAAGCCAAACAAAACCATCCTGCTTGTTGGAGAAACAGGAGCAGGGAAATCTACTCTGATCAACGCTCTGGTCAACTACGCCATGGGAGTGAGGTGGCAGGATGAGGCCTGGTATCGGATCATAGAAGATGGAGGTCAAAGTTCAACGTCGGATGTGATCATGTATGAGATCTTTGATTCTGAGAATAAAACTCTGCCCTACTCTCTCACCATCATCGACACGCCTGGTTATAGAGACACAGACGGACTTCGACATGACGTCATCATCAATCAAAGATTGTTTGACTTGTTCCGGTTAGAAGACGGGATCCACGAGGTTCATGCGGTTGGTGTGGTGATGAAAGCAACAGAAACGAAAATGAGCGACCAGCTGTCATACGTGTCTGATTCAGTGATGTCTCTGTTTGGAAAAAGCTTGGAGAAAAACACAGTGGCACTCATTACTCACTCAGGTAGAACAACACCTAGCATTTCTGTCAAGGGTCTTCAGGCTGGAGGAAGTCAATGTCCTTACTTCATATTCAATAATCGTCAGTATGAGGCCCGAACAGAGAAAACTAGCACAGACCTGGAAGAAGCATGGAGCCTGACAGAGAAGGGGATGAGCCAATTCACAGCTTTTCTTCAAAAGGTCTCAGCTCAGCAGCTGCAGGTCGCAGTCGGCTTTAACTCATTCATCAGATTGACAGCTTCCATCCAGAACCTGCAGGAGAAAATCAAACTAACTGAACTGAAACAGAAAGAAATCAAGCAGATTCAAGAAGCTATGAAGAAACACAAAGAAGAGATGAGGTTTAACAAGAAGTTAATTGTGGAGGTAGATGAAGCCTACAAAGATAAAGAACTTATTGAAGGTGAGGCGTCTTTCTTTAAAGCAGCTGTGTGCTGCACCGTCTGTGAGGAGAACTGTCACTATTCTGGGTGTACTAAACTCCCCAAAGACTGCGAGGTGATGAAAGATGGCCGCTGCACTGTTTGCTCTTCAAAATGTCCCGTATCTGTTCATGTGAAAGGAAAGTGGAGATATGTGACAAGAACAAGGAAAGTTCAGAGGAATATGGAAGACATAAGGAAAAGATCAAAAATACAAAGACGTTTGAGCTTTTTAGAAAGTTTTAAGGGTGAGATCACAAATCTGAAAGCAGAGAAATCTAATTTGCTTGAAGAGTGCTTCCAACATGTTGTCAATCTGGAGCAGATTGCTCTTAAAGTTAATTCTGTGTCCACATTTGTCCACTTGGACTTCTTGATTGATAAGATGAAAGAAAATGGAGAAACAAAGAAGGCCCAAAAGCTAGAGGAAATAAAGAAAAAGGGAGATGAAGGAATTGGCTCCATATTGAAGTACATGTGGGGGAAATTGAAAATAAAGTGAAATAAGAGCCAAGCAGCCATCTGGGAACATCTGACTCTGATTTGATTATATCTGTATTATATTTTTCAAGTCTCTGGATAAAATGAGCAAAAATATGGAGACTGATACATGAAACTGTCAGAAAAACCTTCATTAGGCCATTTCTAATAAGTTGATAAGGGTTTATGGTTGTAATCTGATCCACCACAATGTCAGTAAAATACGAGATGTGTGGATTTCCAAATAGTTTTTCTTTATATTTTTCACCTCTGTGGGCGGCTTTATGTTTATACAACAATGTGTACACACTCAGGATGGTTAAACCTGCCTTTGAAAGTTGCCAGGAAAATAATTTGTTAGAGTCCATTGTGTGTCAAGAGTAAGGTTTGGTGGAGGCAGGATTATGATGTGGGGAGCACACTTAGCCTCCCCTGTGAAGGAACTTGACTTGCAAAGAGGCATGAACTCAAGAAAGCTTTTATGAGAAAATGAGGACAGGTGGACGCCCTTGTTATGAACAATGGACCAGAACAATTGGAAGAAAAGTGGACGAAATGGACAATATTCAAGACAAAAGACAGCAACAACAAATAGAGAAAGAACCGGACAAACTGGACGGGACAAAGGTCAAAGTTTCATGTTATGTAATGTGAATTGTTCATATATGTTATGAAAAATGCTAATAAACGGTTAAATGAGAAAAAAACAATAACCATACAGGAGTAAACCAAAATAAATAATACAGAACAAGATGGTCATTACAGAACATGTAATGGTTTTAGCATTTAACACTGATTTTAAGGACCCTGTATATTCATGAAAATCTCACCTTATATGAAAATGAGAAAATCTGCAAGTCAAGGTTTGTTCCAGAAGTTTGGTGGTGTGAATTCATGACTGTAGTACCATGAAAGGCTCTGTAGTGGTTAACCCGTTCTCTCTGTATTTGGGCTGCAGTTCATCTTATGAACTTATTTACATTAATTTCACTTCATTCTTTTGCTATGACAACTTACTTTTTTGTGTTCAATTAACTCAAAACTTTACAAATCTTTAACCTAAAGGAACTTTTCACTTTGACTTAAAACAATTGAGTTCAATGCCAGTTTCATAACTCTGTATTATAATCATCCAACTCAATTCATTAAGTCCTTCCACTTCAATTTGCTAAGGTTTTATAACTTAATTCATAAGGGGGTTTAACATGACAAATTTAAACCACTCTTACTCAAATCATTTATTTTGTTCTAATAAACATTTAAAATCTCTTTGACTTAATTCTACAGAAAGTCAACTCAAACTTTTTAAGCAGCTCCAATCTAAATATTTTGGCCTAATACTCTTTTTACAGTGTCCTCTAAATACTCTAACTTAAAAGTTACAAATCTTTTTCTTAAAGGACCTTTTTACTTTTACTTTACTTGAAATAATAAAGTTGTTCCCATATCTGTATCCCTCGTCTGACACCATGACTCAGGTTTAGGAGGGACGGCTTCCAGGGTGCTGTGGTGGTGCAGGGGCAGAGCGGTCCATATAAGGAGGACTTGGTCCTTCACGCAGCCTTCGCAGGTTTGATGCCCAGCCTGATGACCTGAGCTGCAGGTCTTCCTCTCTGTCACTGACCACTTTCCTGAATAATTACGCTCAAATAAAGGCTGGCTCAGCCAAATACCCTTTGAAAAAAGAGATCCTTTATTAATTTACTTCTTTATTTAAAGTAAACTAAATGATTTGAGTAAGACTGACTTAAATCTGTCATCTTAAACATACTTAATAAATTTGTTTAAAAAATTAACAAATTGAGTTGGATGATTATAATATATTGAATTGGTTAAACTTCATAAATTAAGTTGAATAATTAATTGAATTGCTTGTTACCAATTGAAGCAATTTAATTAAGTTGGTTCAACTAATTTCTTTTTAGGGTGTAGTTCAGTTTGTAGTTCTGAGGTAAACAGTTTAAAATTTGCCAATATCCTGCGAGCTTTCTGACCACGGTCAATTAGGCAAAACTCAATGAAAATGAAACCATGAATAATGAAGGAAAGGTTCCAGAGAATCACTTCACAGAAGTGTAAACTACAGGCAGGAGTGAAATGACTCATTTGATTAGGCATTATGTCTTATGTGTCATTGACATGTTGTGGGAATAAACAAATGAAGTTAGTGCTTTAACTTTTTAGTTGCAGTGCGCAAACCGCTGAAGCATGAAGGCTGTGAATGTAAATCAGGAAAAGTACTTCTCACATTGTTTGTTGTTCAGCACTCTGAATAAGTGACATGTTGATTGTAAACATCTAAATTACAGTTATTTTTACTGAATACATGGACTCACCACATGTCACAAATAAAACCGACATTATTGTTTGGCTCTGGTGTCCTTCATCTGAAAGTGCTCAGACAGGAAGGTGGGTAATGAGAGCGAGGGAAGAAAAGTCACCAGGCCGGGATTCAAACCTGCCTGGCGGCTCGAGCTTCATCGCAGCTCTGTGTGCTGAAGGATTTCTGAGCTTCATGTATCTAGAAGTAAAACACCAATATTACTTCGGTACAGGAAAGTAAAATGATTTGTAAAGTTTTGCAGATCAAACTGAGAATCAAAGCAGCAAAGTAGCCATGTCCAAATATGTTTCAGTTCAATCAATCAGGTTGATTTGTTTAGTACATTTCAGCAACAAGGCAGTTCAAAGTGCTTAACATGATACAAACCAATGAAGAAGTCAGAAAAACAACAGTCAATAATTGAGAAACCAAAACATTAACATTTTCATGAGCGCCATCATCAACGTCATAAGTTACTCTTCTAATCAATCAGTCAATCGATTCACTTTATTTTGGTATATCGTCAACATTAAACATCGGAAACAAAAAAATATAACCAAACCCATAATTTACCAAAGAAGCAATAGGCTGAAGCCAAAGCTTATTCTTGTCTACCCTGTCTCTTCTTTTCTCTTCTTCTGTTCTCAACAGTTTCATCTTTACGACTAGGGATGGGAATCGAGAACCGGTTCTTGTGGAACCCGTTCAACACATCTTACGGATAATGTAACGTGTGACATATTTACTCCAAATATGTTTTACCAAAAAAACAGAACTACATGTTCAGATCTATAATCCTAATTAAAAACCTCCAGCATCCTCAAACAGCTGACCACACAGCGTGCAACCCATTGGTATGAGTGTAAAGCGTTTGACATGTTGCTTAGCAACAGCAGAGACTCTCCAGGGGGCGGAGCTTCCAGCACAGATTCTCCTGCATGAATGGCCCAGGTAACGTTCAATTCCTGTGCATCCTGGTTACTGAGTTAATGCATGAATAATCCATCACATCGACATTTACAGTCACGGACAATAAATCAAAATATATTTTCAGACGAGGCTCATTTATTATACTAAAGACACAAAAACTGTTGATGTGCAGAAAGTTGCATTTCATGTTAAAATGTTCATTTGCCAGAGGGATTTTTTTTTTGTTTGAGAAAGTTTTAATTGTTTTAATCGAATGCAACTTAGTGCATATTTTCAATTAAAGTTTATTTCATAATTCAATGAGAATCAATAATCAATAAGGAGTCAAATCAATAAGCAAGATCTATAATAGAATCGATAGCTATAAATTCCATCCATATTTACAACAATTCTGTCCTGTATTTCTTATAAATAAATGTAACATGATTAACATATTATGGTCCAGCGATGTACTGGCAACATGGGCCTCTGGAACACTGACTGCTGGAGAAAGGCACAAGCTCACCTTGTAACCCTGCAAGGATATGGATATTGTTACATAATGGATGGAAGGATGTATAATACAATACATTTTACACTAAAATGTAACATTTTCTTTAAATAAATATACTGCCTTCCCACAGAAGATGCAGAAGAAACACCTGTTGCTCAGAAAAGGTGGGAGAAAAAGGCAAAGGGGTTCAAGTTCCCTATCGCCACCACATGCATCTGTGCTCAGTCTGGTCTCTTTCACACCTGCAGCCCGTTAGCGCATCAGTCCAGCTCTTTTGTTCCAGCATTCACAGAATCTCCTGCTCAGCCGCTTTGCTGGTTCCTCCCCTGTCATGCATCGGCTGCTTTTGTTTGTTTTTTAATCAGTTATGCAGCCACTGATTATGAGATTCTTATACTGAATTTTTTATTTGTTTGTATTGCAATTAGTTGTTGAGTGTTAAATGGTTTTTAAACATTTTTCACTGTTACTCTATGCGCTTTTGCCAACCGATTTCATGGAAGAATTTCCTAACTTGCATGTACAGTGTTTACATGTATTGTACATTGAGGGACTACAAATAAAAAGAAATATTGCTAATTCTGGCACACTTTGCATTATGCATTGTTCCTTCTAAAATAAATAACTACTAAGTTCAGATCTTGTAGACGAGTCCTTTTCTACAAACAGGTTTTTAACACTGGAAGTGAGTCATTCCCTCACCTTCTCCCTCAGCTGACTGTCCTGTCAATACAGTTTATAACAACTGCAATTTGCTGGCCTCTAATTTCATTTGCAAGTTCTTCTTTGCAAAGTCCAGTTAGTTGTAGCCCATTACACATTTTTTATCATTTTCTAAATACAATGACAAAAAGCATTGCTTTTAAAATACCAGTAACTTTAAAAATATAAAATAAAATTAAGACAGATTAAAAATGTCCTCTAGCGAAGCTGAAGTTGAGCTTCACCAGTACAAAGCGCTTTTCCAGATTATCGCAGCATTTTATGCTTTGATGCTCTGCAAGAACCCTTTTGCATATGCATTTAATTGCACAGCATATGCAATTTTGTTTACTCAGACAATTAGTAGTTCTTATTTGTTAAATGCAATGATCATAAAATAATTATGAAATACGGACAGTTTTTAACACTACATAAATTGTATTATAACCTTTTTAATAATAGCTTATTAAAAAGGTTAATTCTTGCTCCTCTCACAATGAACAGGATGCTAACTGCTTATGTGGCAGATTTGAACCTGCCACATAAGCAGTTAGAAGAAAAGGTTTCATTTTTGAAAAAATGTTTTCTTTATCATGTCTACTTTTCAGTCTATCATCAAAGTTTACATGCCTGCGTGGATAGAGACAAGGGAGGTTTGACAGCATGTGTTGACATGTCGCTTTCTCTTTCTGTGGACTTACAAAACCAAATCCATTTCCTGCTGAGCAACATTTTTAAAAGCTGACCAGATTTCCAAGCAATGTTGCTTTGACTTTCTGTAAATGTTTCTGAGACAGAAATAACAACAGAGAAAAATCAGCTTGCTTCTGTTTTATCAATCAAACCGAAACACTTTCTCCATCCTCACCTCACTTGTGAACAAGACCCGGAGATACGTGAACTCCTCCAAATGAGGAAGGAACAAGAAAAAATGGAGATGATGTCAGATCATTGTCCAGACTCAGACCTGCCTGCCACTTTGAGAGAAAGTCATAAAAATCCACTTGTGGCTGACCTTTAAGTCAGACAAAGGAATGTGGCCTTGGAACTGGTGTGACTAGACAATGGATGAGTGGGTGGAGAAATCAAGAAAAGGAGAGAAAAGGAAGCTGAGAGGGAGAAGAGATTGGTGAGGAAGGGAACCAATGAATGCTAGCGGTGCTGAATTCAATTATTCTGGATCCAGACAGTCCAACATGAGGCAGACTCAAAATAGTAGCAACAACATAAGAACATCACAATATATAACCAGAAAAAAACATTAAGTAGGCATGCAACAGAAATGTTATTTACCATAGCAGCCCAGATAAAGGGATGGTTTTTAGTAGTGTTGAAACAAATCATGTCATAGCGGTGTCCAGAAATCCAAACTTAATGGAAAAAAACTCGCTCTCCTCAGGCAGGCGTAAAGCTGGTGCTCCAGCTGGTTCTCAGCAACAGGTCTGCCCATGGAGACCAGCTATGATGACTTCTCCACTCCTCGATGAGGCTTTTCCAACCAAAAGCCAGGGAAGTATCTTCATCACAGCTGGTCCTACAGGCAGACCTGTCAAGAGCCTTTCAAGTCTCTTTGAGATCGCAGAAATGTGGATCACTTCTGG